GACGGAATGAATATATTGAAACATTGAACATATTCCACTTGCACTCCACTCCACAACACACACACCCCACCAATAAAGAATATGAGAACACATATGAATTTCTTCAATTATAATACTTCGTATATATATATTCCACGTGAAGATATATAATCACTTGAAATGACACTTGTGAGTGTTTTGGTGCTTTACATACTAGAATTAATAAATAATAATTCTTTCCTCACATGAAAAATTTCACCCTTGAATTGATCGACAAGAAGATTAAGAAAAGTAAAATTTTGTGTTTAGAAGTGATGTAGAGAAGAGAGAATTAAATTATAAGAGCATCTCTAATAGTATTGTATATATTTAGTTTTGTGTTGTACATCATCAAAGAGTACTTAATTTCTAACTGCATAATAGGTTTTGCAATATTTCAAACCCAAATATGGCTTGTAATTTGGGGTACTCTTTTTTTCTTTTCTTCCATATCTTTATTACTCCGTGATATTTTTTAACTTAATTACATTATTTGTCTTTTTAGCTAACTTTTTTTTATAATTTACTACAATTTTTAATTTTTAAAATATAAAAAGTTATAAGAGAAAAATGTATTATACCGTGAGAATATTATTTTAATTTTGATGTAATGTGTTGGAGACTTGGAAATAAGTTACTGTAAATTTAGCATTTGTTGGATTTTGAGTTTGAGTTTAATATGAATAATTAGAGATGGTCTAAAGGACACAAATTCTATTTCAAAAATAGAAAGTGAAACTTTTCTTTAAGCCACGCGAAAAAGAAAATGCGCAATCTTAATTTTAGCACAGCATTTAGCTGCTGCTTTGAGGCGGAGTAAAAAAAATAATTTACTGCACAAAGCTTTTTGTTGCTACTTTCAGCTGATTGTGGATCCAAAAATGTCACCGTAAAAACCAAGCCCGGCCCGCCCTGAAATGAAAAACAAAAAACAAAACATTAAAAAAACCTTGTGCGAAAATTTTTTATAGACCCCATTGGATTTGGGAAAAAATTAAATATGATAATCTTGATCTTTTAAAAATAATCTCACTGTGATGCATAGAAGGTGTTTGAAAGTGTGTTTGAAAATAGCTTTTGAGGTTCGACTTTATTGAAACACAATTTTAACATGCTGTTTGTTTGAGAAGAAATTGGGAGGAAAGAAAATGAATGGAGAGAAAACACATATTTCAAGGTGTTTTCTTTTGTTTGGTTGGAAGAGAATTGGTGGGGAGAAGAGAAAAAGGAGAGAAAAATTAGCCCTAAAATTTTCTCTCCACATGGGAGGAGAAAACCGTAGGTTGGGAAGGAAAACAAGCAAAATTACTCTTTTACCCTCTTTATTTATAATTTTAGTGTTATAGAGTAAGGGTAAATGTGTCTTTTTGTTTTGTTACGTTTTCTTTCTTCTTCTCATTTTCCCTTCATTTTCTACCCATCCAAACAATAATTATTCTCTTTTCATTTTCTCTTCATTTTCTTTCCTCTCTATTTTCTTTCCATCCGTTTTCTTTCCACTCATTTTCTCTTTTTATCCAAACAATGGCTAATGGAGTGAAATTGGAAGAAAAGAAAAGGTTGGGAGGGAAAACATAATTTTCAAAAAATTTTCCTTTGTTTGTTTGCATGAGAAAATGGAGAAGGAAAGGAAAATCACTCCCATCCCAAACTAAAAAATTTTCTCCTCTCAATAGGTGAGAAAATTGTTTAGATGGAGAGAAAACTATTGAAATGACACTTTTGCCCTCTATTGCATTCACTTTTTAAAAACATAAATATATAATAAGGGTAAAATTGTCTTTTTATTTTTATATATTTTCTTTCCACTTACTTTTTCTCTCCATTTTCTACCTATCCAAACAACATTCATTTTCTTTCCATTTTCTCTCCATTTTATCTTCTCTCCCTTTTCTTTCCACCCAATTTCTCTCCTTGCATTTTCTCTCTTTACCCAAACAATGCCTAAGTGTTTTGCTATCAACTTTAGATTATGGATTGTGATTTTATGTCAAGGAATCAACTCAACCAAAAGCTCAAGTTTATGATTGTGGCCCAGGAACAGTTATTTATATTCTAACACGCCTCCTCACGTGCAAGCGTAATCTTTTTCGAGCCTTGCACGTGAAACCTTATTTTTTTTAAACTGAGTGACACTGAGTTTCGAACCCGTGACCTCTTAGTCAACGAGACTCCGATACCATGTCAAGGAACCAACTCAACCAAAAGCTCAAGCTTGTGGTTGTGGCCCAGGAACAGTTATTTATATTCTAACATTTTAGAAGTTTAAATTTACTCTAGAAGTGATTTTCACCAAAGCTTGAAATAACTGCTTTATACTTTTGATTTAGCACATCTGCCTTTTTAAAACTCCCCGCACTCACAAACATCCTCATAATAAACTCAAATTACTAAAAGTTGTGATTTTTGGATCGTCGTTAAGTTACTAACGACAAGTTAACAGAAACGGTCTGTTTTGCACACCAAAATGAAAGTTGAGATTATTTTTTTAATGAATTTTCATTTTTTTGAAATTTTAATTTATATTTTTAGAATGACTTTCTACCTCCATAATTGCTATTTTTAAAGATTAGTCTAATTTTAGATAAAAAACAAAAAAATAGATATAATAAATAATCGTAACAAAAATGAAATTTTGTTACGGGTTTGAGTATAGTTTCGATTGATTATCTTATGTATTTCATTAATTTTGTATGGTTTTAGTATTTTTCTCATTTCCATTATTTTTTATACCTATTTTTATTTTTTCTAAAGTAAGGCTAATCTTAAAAAAATTAAATAGAAATGAAGGTAGAAAGTCATTTTAAAAATTTAAATAAAAATTTAAAAAAGAAAACAACAATGCATCAAAAAAATCCTAACCATTAACCCGGCGTGAGAAACTTAACGACGATCCAAAAATAAAAAAATTCAATAAAGGTTGGATTATTATATATCACAGTGAAATATGAGATTATTATTAAAAGAACATGTAAAATTGGGATTATTCTGAATAATTTTTTCCATTTTATAGCTGAAGTACGAATAAATATTTTTAGCGGTGTATACCGGTCTAGAACGGATAATATCAGACCAGAATCGGGAAAAATCGAAAAATCAGAATTATCCAGAGTATTGAATCGAAAACTAGACTTGTATATTCCGGTCTAGGTAAAAATTTGAAATCCCAGATTTAGTATATGACAGATTAATTTCATCTCCTAATCTCAATTAATTTCATAATTTTTGACGCACAACAAAAATATGGAACTAAATATAGAAGATTCAATAAATATGAAGTAATTAAACACGTTGAAAATTACCTAAATTGGAAAATAGAAAAGAAAATTAAAAAACCACCAAATAAGAAGTTTCACGTTGCATACATAGAGAAGGGAGTGTCAATCCAAATTTACCGGTCTAACCCGAAAATAAGAAGATTAGAAACTATAATGAGCTCAATTAGAAATTCTAATGGGCTAGAAATTGGAATGAACTAGAAAAAGACCAGAATTTGGTTTTATCAATCTAACCTGATAAAGTTTCGAATATGGACCGAAATTTTACTGCTCTAAAGAGTACGGATGAACTGGTTAGAAATAGGTTCTACTCAAAACGGATAAAAATAAATAAATAATAACAATATAAAAAAAACTCAATTCAACACACCAAATGCCATAGTGCATGATACAATAGAAGCATATATAGCTCATCATGTCATCCATCTGCTTCTACTCTCTCATCTGTGTCATAGTACTTGTTTTTCCATGCCATTGCTAACACTCTCCTGCTGCATACTGTTCTGATTTTAATTAAAGTTATAATTACTTCTAATTTGATTTGTGTCCAATGAAAAAAAATAAGTAATACGTAGTATAATTTTTTTAGTTTTAGAGTATGATGGAACCTAGCAAGACGGCTCTTTACACTGTCTGTGCTTCTTTAATAATGAAGTAGCAGGTAGTCAATGAACTTTCAATGTTAATCATGGGTCATCTGGAAATAACCCGTCCTATGTTTTTAACATAAGAGTTCGCGTACGCGATTAATTACTTGTGGTTCTTGAGCCGGAGTCTTTTTGGAAACACTCTCTCCACTTTCGAGTAGGGGTAAAGTCTTTGTACACACGCCCTCCCCAGAGTCTACTTTTGTGGATTTCGACTAGGTTGTTGTTTGTTGTATTCTTTACCAAAACAGGAGGTTTCAATATATCGGGGGATAAATAGAGTAGTGATACACAAGTCTTCACTTGCTAATGGAGCTAAAAAAGAGTCATTTTTTGACAATATTTTAGCTCCGGGTAAGTAATGGACTAGATAAAAATGGCAAATTAAGCTTTTCTTGCTTCTTATTTTCTAAGAAGTTTTGGAAAGTAGATGCATCATTTCTAACAAATATACATTTGGTGCATCTAATAGACATGCCCTATTCCTTCAAGAATCCCTTCTAGCTTGTTCACATTTGGTGCACAGTTCTAAAAGACTTATGCATCAGAAGCATGTCACAGGCAAATACTTCAACACAAGTATGGTGAAGCACATCATCTTGAAATGCTTAAACCAAAATCAACTCAAAAAAACTCATTCTTGGCCAACTTACCTGAAATGCTGGTGCCTGAACACTTTAAAATGCACTAAAAAACAAGTGTTTTTCCCCCTAGAAAACTGCAAGAAAAAACTAAATGTAGATCAGTAGTTATCATCCACACTTCCACCAAGCCAATAATCACATTCAGATTACAAAATGCAGCAAAACCCACCAGTAACATATCAATTGAGATTACTTGGGATGGGGTAAAACACCATTACTCAAAATATGCGTAGTAAAACGGATAAGAGACGTACCAAACCTCCCACGCTGCCACAATTGTTTGTCATCCATTGAAATGAGGTCAAGGAACAAGCACTGGGTTGTTAAGTGGTGTTCTTTTATCAACCCCTCTTTTCTCACTACCAACACCATTCATCAACACAAGCAACTAAACATGATACCTTACTTCAAAACCAGTCTGTATAACTTTATTTTATAGGTACAAGAACTACTAATCAATCATTACCAACATCAGTCACTCTTAATCTTCCATATATCAAGTCAATTGCATGATACATCAATAACAAAATCAGCTTAAATCATACATAGAAGCACTGAAATGGAGAAAAGTTACTCATCTGGGATGATGGGATGAAAAATTTCCAAAGGCAACACTTTCAAACAATCAAATTATACAGCATTAAGTACAAAAGACCCAACCTTTACCCCGCCCATAAAGAAAATCAAGAAAATGAAACCCATAAAAAAAGAAAAAAAGAAAGGGAAATTAATTCACTACTTCTTCTTTCCTTTCCCACCGGATTTCTTCTTAGGAGGAATCACAATTTCACCTTTCAGCACCGGGATTTCCATAAGATCAGACAAACCGGCGAACTTCTTGCGGAATTTCTCGACCTGGCCGGCGTCGGAGAGGAGATGGGCGCGGCTTCCGAGGTAAAATGGGTGGTTCCCCGACCAGACATCCACCACGTACTCCTTCTTGGTCCCGCCGGTCGTCATCACCAGCTCGCCATTGCAGTAAACCTTGGCATCCTCGTAGAATGCCGGGTGAATATCCTTCTTCCTGCAAGTCCATCGGATCCGATTGGGCCTATCTCCCGGTCCAGTACTGGCCTGGAACATCATAAACAAATCAATAATTTCAAGAATCAAGAAACGAAATTCAAGATCCTTAATGGGTTTCCAAGGAATTGCCTTTGTAACAGAGGGCGACGATGGAAGGTGAAAGCTTCTCTGTAGGAAGGTATTGGAAAGAATGAGCACCATTTTCGCTTTCCGGTCGAAGAAATGAGACGGAGATTGTCACATAAAATTTCTAAGCTATCTCTTATTGAAAGTTACATAAATGCCCTTGTTGAAAGATGGGCTGGCTATCTTGGAGCTTCACTTGGCCCGAATAAAATCTCTGTCTTGAGCCCACCCTTATGAGAGACGGGCCTCGGGTTGGGATTCACCCTTTTCATGGAACGTTCACGCCGGGTGCCCCACACTCTGATCCGACAGTATTATAAGAGAGTAAATTATTGTATAATCTTAATTTGATCTTTAAAGAGGTCGTTTCGTGCCCGATGCGCATAATGAACTATTACAAATAACACCGCTGTCAGAATTTGATTCTCATATCAACGGACTTGGCATCCTCTCTTTGAACCTCTGTTAGCTTATTCGGATACGTGTATAATGCGTTTATTCGTACGTTCGTGTATAATACGGGTCACATTTTAAAAATACGTCTTATTATATACTTTATACGTTCAGGGTACGTATACGGATACCTTCGTGTTTTATACGTTTGATTTTTGAAAAATACGGCTTATAGTTAGTACAAATATTTTTAGTAAGAAAGACATTTTTGACATTGAAATTGAATACAAATACACCATAAATAATCTTATACGCAATTTAGAATTGATTAAAATGAAATTAACTTTATATTTTTCATTTTTAGAATGAAAAATACAGTTACGAACTTATATTTTTAGAATTTAGATCACAAAAATGAAATCAAATTTATATTTTTAAACGTCGATAAATATTTAACCCCCAAAACTAAATTAAAAAAAATCATTACATTTTAAAAATCCAAAAAGTAGAGATAATAATGTTGTTGATTACTATTTCTTAGAGCACTAGAAGTGTTGGACTCCCAACTAGATGTAGTTGAAGAAATTGTTAGACCATGAATGAGATTTAATTAACAAAAGACGTTGGTGAATTACTTGAACTGTATTCTTGTTCTAATACTTTTACAATTGTTGAGTCGACAAATTTTGAAAATTTGTATTTTTGGGAAGAAGACAATCAAGTAAATTGATCAGATAAAAAATTGACCTTCTAAATTTTGATTATTGGAGTCAAAGGAAGAAGTTTTTTACGATTTAATACATATAAAATTCGTAAATACGTTTAGGGTAAAAAATACGTGTATTATATGTTTGTCACTTGAAAAATTCGTCACGGTCGACCGTCCCAGGGAAACGGTCGACCGTCACGGGATCTGCCAACCTGCCAAATCTGCGAGAAACAAGGTCACTCTGCGTCTGCGTGCTGGTATCGATTTGATGATTCTTATACGTCGAACTCCTCCTCCAGTGCTCCCCGTGCAATGCATGCATCTACGAGTAATCATTCTGCAAACTGGTATTTGGACACTGGTGCCAATACCCATGTCACGTCTGATTATTCTCATCTACAATCTCCTCATCAATACACCGGTACTGATGCTATTACCATAGGCAATGGTCAATCCCTACCCATCACACACTCTGGCTCAGGTTTTGTCCATACTCCTAATGGTAAATACCACCTTTCTGCTCTTCATTATGTCCCTTCCCTTACCTCCAATCTATTGTCTGTCCATCGATTTACCAAAGATAACAACTGCACCCTTGTTTTCAATGCCAATGATTTCCAGATAGTGGACAATCCTACCAACCAGGTGCGGTACAAGGGCCTCTGTGAGCATGGGTTATACACACTTCCTTCCAAACTCCCAACCGTTGCGTATCAAGCTATCCAAGAGTCCACTTGGCATCGTAGACTCGGTCATCCCGCTCCTGCGATTGCCAAATCTATTTTGTCTTCCTTAGGTTTTCAGTTTTCAGAGCCTTTACATTGTGAATCATGTTATGTCTCTAAGTCCTGTCGTTTACCTTTTGAATTGTCTGAA